TAGGGCCCTATCATACACCCGGCGCAATACAGTGAAGGCTAGTTTCAGTTGCTAGTTTTATCTTGGCACAAGAGTCATTTTGATGTTTTGCACCACACTTTTTAAATAGCAAATGCATTTGCGCTCATATGTGCGCCCATAGGCATTCTGCTCTAAAAAAGGAGGCATGTCAAGGCGGATTGCTGGCGCGTTATTATTTTGAAGAACTATAATAGACTGCACAATAGATCAGATCAAAGCAGGTCTAAAGTCCAGCGCAGAGCGCTTTAGTTGAGCGCCTCCCTTAAACATTGCTTAATACACACAGGATGATCAGCAATATGCAAATATATTTACAAATGAAAAAGAATTAAAGGATTTAAATATTTTTTAAAAATATTATTTTCGAGCCTGCACAATTATAAAAACCACCGCTTCCATGCCTTCTGCATCTCAGGGGACTTTTTCAGTTAATTCATAACAATTTGCTTTTGTATAATGTTATTATTATTATACACTCAATGCATCACCTAGCGGGTTCCACACAGGCTTCTGCATCTTGCTTATATACACTATGAACAGCAGCTACGCTAATTATTCTCTTTATTCTCTATTTTCACCAGGGGATACTCATCCAGAGGTCCTCAGATTATGCGGAGTCACTGATTGGATCCAAGACCAGCGATGAGATAATCCCAAGGTTTCCATATCCGGGACCAGGCCATATCCTAAGCTGCTGCTGCGCTGATGGTCATGGGAAGTGGAGAACATGAGACTGATTCCAGCGACGCTCCAGGGACAGATGAGTCTTCGCTGAGGCCATCTTCCAGACTCCACCGCGGTGACTGAAGCTCTGCACAAGACTTTTGGCCAGCGGAGAAATTAAAATGGTCGTGCCGAATTGAGTCTGGTTCTCTCAAGGTTTTTTTTCTTCACTCCCATCAGGTGAAGTTTTTTTTCCCTCTCCGCTGTCGCCACTGCCTCGCATGGTTCAGGATTGGTAGAGCTACGCATCGATGAATTTGCTCTTCAGTGTTTGAACTCTCAGTAATGATTAAATCACACTGAACTGAGCTAAACTGAACTGAACTGAACTTAAACACTAAAAACTGAACTACACTGTTCCAGTTACTATGACCATTTATGTGAAGCTGCTTTGACACAATCTACATTGTAAAAGCGCTATACAAATAAAGCTGAATTGAATTGAATTATTATTAGCAGTATTATTTATTATATGTACATTTATATTTGTTTCATTAAAAACAAGCTTAGGTTTGCCCACCTGTCAGGTTTGAGACCATACAGGGCACAGCATGTGTATTAGGATATAACTCAGTTATTTGACCACACTCGTTGTTATTGTTCATTTATTTGTTTGCTAGAAATTAGAACTGAATTTAGAAATAGTTTTGAAACAAATCTTTGTGCTTAATAAACAAAATTAATTATGTAAAGGCTAATGTATGTCTGTGAGTACAACACGTTCCCCTATCCACGAGAGTAAAATATAAAATGAGGAGGCTCATTCTCTCATTCTTGCGCTGCAGATGTTCTGTTCAACTGTTTTCTCTCTAGTTAAGCACTAGCTGCATCCCAAATGGCACACTATACACTATGCGCTCATGCACTATGTACTTATGCACTTACACACTCAACAGCATAGTATATGTATGTGTCGTCTCCAAATGGCACACTAATGTTTTTTTACTAAGCGGAAATTCAAACCGTTTCCCTAATGACGTTTGACGGTTGCCAAATTAGTGAAATAAACGACCGAATTATCAACTAATACCTGCCGTGAGTATAACTTCATTCACCATCGGAAGGCGCTATAATCACTCTCGTAGGAGAATTTTGCCTTTACCATCCAAAATAAATAAAGTTATCCAACATGTGCGCCCGGTACCTCCGCCCCTTCCGCTACGTTGAGCAAACCTGCGGTTGTTGAGTGCGGGAAGTGTCCATCATTCCACACTTCATTTTAGCGGCTGATTGAGTGCATCATCCAGGTAATTAAAATGCACTTATTATTTTTAGAGTTTTCAGTGTGAACACACTACTTACACAATTTATACTACAAAATGGCGTAGAATAGTATGCGATAAGTATGCGATTTGGGACGCAGCTACTCAGTTTTTTCCACTTACAATGTCCGCCATGGAACTAGTGCATGCAAATGTGCTATGGCGCAATGCAATTGACTCCTAAGCTGCTATCACACTAGAGTTTGTGTGTGCAAAATTCTGTCATACGGAGCTGCGAAAATGGGCGGGATTAAACAAGATGATTAGACAAAAAAGCAAGCAATCAGTCCATATTTTAAATTTCTGTTTAGAGAGGTCATGTTTTGATCCATGTTTTGAGCTTTCTATTTGTGCTTAATCCCCTTATAGCAAACTAACGATAAGAGTGGCGTGGTTAGGAATGTTTTGACTAAAGCCATCAAACTGACATTATAAGAGAAGAACACATTCTCATAAACCATACGCATCCTCATTTTATATATTGCTGACTGCTATCAAAATAATAAAAGTAAAAATGAAACTGTCTAAATAACTGTAATCCTACAACTCATTCAATCAATTTCCTTTGGATAAGTCTCAATTTCAGAGGTTGCCACCGCGGAATCAACCACCAACTATTCTGACATATGATTTACACAGCGGATGCCCTTCCAGCCGCAACTCAGAACTGGAAAACACCCATATACTCTCACATACACACACACTCATACACTACGACCAATTAAGTTTATTCAATTCACCTACAGCACATGAAAACTGGAGCACACAGAGGAAACCACGCCAACATGGGGGGAACAGGCAAACTCCACACAGAGATGCCAACTGGCCCAGCTGGGACTTGAACCAGTGACCTTGTTGCTATGAGCCATCGTACCACCCCGAAAAGTGTTGTACCACCCCTGAAAGTGTTGTTATTAGTTTTGAGCAAACCTCGATATTACATTAAATATTGAAGACAAGTAAACTAAGATGGTTACAGGACTTCCTTCAAACTGGACTGACTGCTTAAAGTAAGTTTCTTTCATTGTTATTTTTCCAGAATTATGAATTATAATGCTGTACCATAAGTTGGAGCAAGAAATTCAACTTTTAAATTAATTTTACAAAATGAATAAAATATATGAATTGTTTTTTATTTAATTGTTTTAATGTCATAGGACCAGATGAGTTTGATATGCCTGCTTTGCACATCAAGAAGGAAAAAAAAGTCAGTCTCAATTTGTAAAACAATTTCTAACAACTGAATTGGAGTACAATTACGACTACGCTGTCTCCCACCAGCTATTACTAACTACCTGAAAATAAGAAAGTATGAAATTTGCGTGTAAGTGAAATCTAAGGAGTAAAATTCAAATTACTCAAATTACAATAAATACTTTGTGATACAATTGTGGGTTTTTCCTGTAGCTTTCACACGCAGGTAAGATCTTATTACAGTCTAAAACAATAATAAGTCAACAAGTTACGAATTGACTAGACTAGATCAACCAGTTCAGGGTGTTTTATTATTGGAGGATAAACTGTTACAGCATTGCATTGTTTCATGCTTATTGGGCTGTAATTCAACAAACCTTGTTTGACTGACTGACAAACTTTCCAATTTCCTCTGATTTTGCAGAATCATGATACGTTCTAAAGTCACTGAAATCCTCTGACCACAGGTTGACCAGATGAAAACCAAATGAATGAATCTTCCAGCCACCGCAAGAGGTGATCATCAAAAATCTATGATTTCTAGAACATTGCATCTTTATAATGTCACAAAGTTATGCTAGTTGTACAATTGAAGTCAGAATTATTAGCCCCCTTTTGAATTTTTTTTCTTTTTTAAATATTTCCCAAATGATGTTTGACAGAGCAAGGAAATTTTTACAGTATGTCTGATAATATTTTTTCTTCTAGAAAAAGTCTTATTTGTTTTATTTTGGCTAGAATAAAAGCAGTTTTAAATTTTTTTAAAACAAAATTGGGACAAAAATATTAGCCCCTTTAAGCTATTATTTTTTTTTTGATAGTCTACAGAACAAACCATCGTTATAGAATGTCTTGCCTAATTAACCTAACCTGCCTAAATCACCTTATTAACCTAGTTAAGCCTTTAAATGTCACTTTAAGCTGTATAGAAGTGTCTTAAAAATATCAAGTAAATAATTATTTACTGTAATCATGGAAAAGATTAAATAAATCAGTTATTTGAAACAGGTTTTTTGAACTATTATGCTTAGAAATGTGCTGAAACAATCTTCCTTCCATTAAACAGAAATTGGGAAAAAAAATAAACAGGGGCGCTTATAATTTAGGGGGGCTAATAATTCTGACTTAAAATATGAAAGAACATTTCGAGAGTGGACTTGATAATGCAGAGAATCTCAGTAGTCAATCAATTCAACATTGAGGCCTAAATTGATTACAAGTTCAGCTCTGAACATGGCAAAGATCTGTGTTTCCTCGTTCTGTGTTTCAACATTTAAGAAAATTTGAACTGAAAGTCTTTGCAAAAACAGATATAGTAGTTTATTGAAGCTAAAAACTTTAATATAATGAAATGACAACCCAGGGTCCTGATGTAAACCTGATTAAAAATACCTGGAAAAACCTTGGTGACAAAGTTGTGGCTTGGAAACTAAAACAGTCAACAAACTGTAAACAAGACAGAAGAAAAGATGGTTAAGATCAGCAGAAAACAGAAAACATTTAATTCATTTAAATGTTAAAAGACAGATTAGATGATTTCTGGAAAAAAAAATATATAATTTTTTCTCCAATTTTGATCTCCACTGTACATTAGCATTTATAAGCTACCATCCACAAATGTTTGCCAACGTAAAAGCTCAGCATTAGACGTCCCAATAAAATCACAAAGACAAGCCAAAGAGCTGCTTTGATCTTCCTCTCTCTACTCACATCGACCAGTAGAAATGTGTGCTGGTCTCCATGGAGAGCTCGTCATTGTCACTGGTCACTGCTCTATATATTGTCTAGAGCATGAGTTACCCTTAGTAACCATCCGAATAACAAACCAAAGAGGAGACATTGCATGAATCTCAGAGGAAACACAGTCCCGCGGGCTCACTCTCTCTCTCTCTCTCTCTCTCTCTCTCTCTCTCTCTTGGGCTACAACTAAATTTTACTTATTTTTCTTTTTGTTTGTTCTTTTTTGCCTTGATATTACATTATATTGAAGACCAGTAAACTTTTTTGGTCTTAAAAATTGTAGGATAGTTAACGTTTCATTAGATTGAAGTGATTTTTCGGGACTGCCATCCAACTGGACTGACTGCTTATAGTAAGTTCCCTTCATTATGTTTTTCCTGCATTATGATGTACCATAATTTTATGTAAAAAGGATTTAAGGCAAGTGAATGTTTTCGAGAGCACTTCACCAACATCTGTGCTTTCTCAGCTGTGTTAACAAAAGCTTTTTAACCATCAACTGTGGTGTGCGTGGGGGGAAATGCAGGCTTTTTCCCATTGTTATGCTTTTGGGGCTGACGGACTTGACCGGTAAACTAATTTAAACAGGTTTATTGAAATGAATGTTCTGTCCTCACTGATATCCATTAATGATTGAGACTAATTGCACTTCAGAATCTCTTTAAACATAATGCAAGCTGCTTCTGCTGTCTTTGCTGATGAATAGGTTGTGCTTCTAAAAAAAACAAATTAAAAATCATAATCATGTTTTTAAGTGTTCATCTTTTAATTACTTTTGGGTGGAATTTCTAATTATTTAATGGTTAATATTTGAGGGGGATGTGTGGGTGTTAAAACTAATCTTGCTTGCTGGTCTTAAAGTGAATGATTTAAAATAATAAAGGATATTAGACAATAGAACTAAACTAAAAAGGTCATCTTTTCTACCGTTAGTAGATGTTTTATAATAATATTGTTGATTTAATTCTCAATTCATTCATTTATTTTCCTTCGGCTTAGTCCCTTTATTCATCGGGGGTCGCCACAGCGGAATCAAACACCATTAATTCTAAATTGTTTATTTGTTTAATTCAATTAAATTAAATTCAAACCACCCACATTATTATACAAATTTTTATAGATTTCACCAAGCTACATAAGATCAAAATAAAACATTCATTAAAACATAACCTCTCCAACTGGCTTTTTTATTTTATAAGTACACTTTTTATCTTAAATTTGCAAACTATGCAATCGTTTTGTAAGTACTGGGTCTAGAACAACAGAGTTGAGGGTCCAAACGAAGTTTCTTTAGTAGCTTAGTAAGGCAGTCAATGGTCAAACAGGAACAACAGATACATGAGATACATTGTAGTTGTGGTCTCAGCCAAAATTATTAATATAGGTGGCAAAACAACACACACAAGAAAACAAGGTAAAGGTCAAAAGCATGACTAGACTAGGGATGGCTGAAGTGAAACTGATGTTTCAACAGTGTCAAGAACCCGGCACTGAAGCATAATCTAAAACACTCTGGTCACGTGACTAAGTTGATTCGAAACACCCAGGTCACATAACTAAGGTGATTCGAAACACCAGGTCATGTGACAAAAATGTTTCAAAACACCAGGGGCCTCATGTTCAAAGACTTGCATTGAATTAATACTAAAACATTGCATACGGACAAAGCTGTAAATGTAAATGTGGAATCCCACGCATATTCTCTTTGTATATGCGAATGAAAGTGAAACTGAGTGCACGTACATGAGCGCAAAACCCCTCCCTGCCTCCTCCCTATATGAATATGGTAATAATGACTCTACTTTGGCAAAAATCAAACGAAAAAGCAATGGCAAAAGCAAGCAAAATGAGAAACTTCACAGAATGTGAATTGGAGATGCTCCTATTGGAGGTAAATCGAAGAAAAACTGTGTTATTTGCAAGTTTGACCTCCGGAATTATTAGTTTAGCTGATGCGGGTAACGCAGTGGGGTCTGAACATCGCACTGTGAGTGAATTAAAAAAGAAATGGTCTGATGTAAAGTTGCAGGTTAGGAGGAGATCATCGGCGCACTGTAAAAGTGATGCTGAACTAACACTCTTTGAGGAGAGTTTACAACTTTACCACTTTACAACTGACCGAGTGCAAGAATGGGCATCAATGTATCTGCGCTCTTGGTCAGTTTGTGGGTTCTTGAGGGGGTTAACAGCCATTTCTTTAATGGATAACTGCAGTCTCCATATATGCAGTTAAATAACTGCGCTCAATAAAATAAAATAAAAAATAATATCTTTAAATACATCACTCACCAAGAAGCCACCCATCGCGGACCCTGCCACCTTGAAGCCTCATCCCAACCATGCTGTTTGTGAGAATAAATTAATCATGGGTTGACCCAGGCCACCTTCCCACAATATTTGTCAAGCGCATTTGAGCATCACATATTATTTGCACATTTATTCAATGGAAATGTTTCCGATTCACGCATACAAATTCGTCTTCAGATGGCGCCTTGATAGCAATGTGGGTGCAGTCGATCCCTCTGATTACATTGGGAAAACCGATGATCCTGCAAATTGCGTTTTAATGTTTGACTGGTAAACTGCATGGTATGGAAACCTTATATACCTGCTAGTATAATATAAAGTTTTTGTGCATCCGCAGCGTTGAAACATGAGGCCCCAAGTCACCTGACGGAGGTGATTCGAAACATCCAGGTCACATGAATAAGCGATTCAAAGCATCAGTAATTTAAGAAGCGTTTCAAGACCTGGCGAATCTGCACTTGACTGACAAAGTCGAAAAAATATTATCTCATGTAGTCTAGTGGACTTTGCGTGTGCACAGTGTAACTGTGCTGCAAAGGGCCCGAGTTTGAATCCCGACTTGTACAAATATTCTGAAATCATGACTTTATTTTATTGATTTACTTTAATAATGTTAATTTTTATGACCAAACAAGACATATTTATTCACAAAGTGTTTATGGGTTAAATACCTCAATTTGCTGATTTTTTTCTTTGCTGAAACTGTTCCAGAGTAGTACATAAAAAATGACCGCTAGGTGTCACTGTAGAGACTGGTTTTAAAACATTTCAAAGCTTCGACACGTTTTCTTTGTCTGTTTTATAAAGCCTTACTTTACGAACCACTAGACAAGACTAAAAAACACTTAGAAATGTTACAGCAAACAAACAAGACTCAACAATGTGTGTTTGAGAGGTGAATATTTAGTCCTAATAATCAGTCTATGATGAGTTACCAGACCTATGTGTGCAAACATTAAGAGAACTGGAATTGGTGTGTGTATGAAGTGCATGACGGGATTTGAAGTCCAGTTCTGTGGCAGATTTGTAGTTCTCCAGCTATCTGCAACTGCTAGATCGCTGGTGATTTGTTACAATAAAGCATTTCTTTAGCTCCAAAAAGTCTATTATACTTCAAGCAACTGAATCCTTTTTTTGTTTGTTTGTTTAATGTGATGTAGATTTCATCATTAGTTGACATAAGTTCACCATTTTTTCCAGAATGTGTTTTAATTGATCCAATTTGGAAATTTTCCATTCAGAAGAACTAATATAAATTACTTAAATGAAGAGATTATTCTACAAATAATTGAAATAGCTACAAATAAAAAATAGTTAGCATATTTAACATTTTTGGAGTCATTTGGTCTACAGGGATTCATACATTCACACACATACACTACGGCGAATTTAGTTTATTCAAGTCACCTGTATCACATGTCTTTGGACTGTTGGGGAAACCGAAGCACCTGGAGGAAACCCACACGAACACAGAGAGAACATGCAAACTCCACACAGAAATGCCAACTGACCCAGCCATGAGTCGAACCAGCGACCTTCATGCTGTAAGGCAACAGTGTTAACCACATTAACATGTTATGTTGTAAGGGAACACCGTCTCGTCCCAGAGAGTCATTTGTAAGTTCTAATTGTAAGTTCCCTTACAATATTTTTTTTTTTTTTTTTTTTTTTTTTTTATTAGAATATGCAAAAATCGTACAAATACAAGAAAACGTCAACAAATAACAAATACAAAGCAACGAAACAAAAACAAAACAAAAACAACAACAATATAGTCATGTACTGGTATGTGCGTGAGTGTGTGTGTGTGAGTGTGTGTATGCATGTAAAGGTAACTTGGTGGACAGGTCAGAGTACATACATAAGGAACAATAACAGTCAATAAATGAAGCAAGTGTCACAGATATAGATAAAACATATAGAAAGAAACCAGTCAGTGGTAGGGAGTAACAACAATGCTTATTAATGTATGATAGTAAAAATTAGAGTAAAAAGAAAGAAAGGACAACAGTAATAACTGACAACAATAATAATAAATCACAAGTGCTACACAAACTACTACTACAAAAAGTTACTTATATTACAACTACTACTGCTTCTACTACAGCCACAACCACGACTACTACTACTACAATGTCTACTAGTACTGATACTACTACAACGACTACCACTACTGATACTACTAAAGCGTTTGCTACAACTAATACAACGTCTACTACTACTACTACTACTACTACTACTACTACTACTACTACTATTACCACTACTACTACTACTACTACAATCACTTCTACTACATCTACATCAACAACATCTACTACTGATATTACTACACCAACAACGACTACTACTACTACTGTAACTACCACACCATTACTACTTCTGCTACTACTTACAAGAACTACTACTTCAAAAATCTCCGTAACAATTACTCAATAACAATCGATACTATTACACTGTCTACTACTTCAACTACAACTACTACTACTACTACAACAACTGCAACCTTAATAATGATAATGGTATAAATACTTGTAATAATGATAATGGAAAGATAACAGGACAAGTCAGAACAGTAATAATAATAATAATAATGATTTCAAAAAATAAAAGTAATACCATTTATGACAAAGGTGTCGAGGAGAGGGGAGGATGGGAAAATCAGGGAGAGGACAAGTAATAATAATAATAATAAATAATAATAATAATAATAATAATAAATAATAATAGTAGTAAGTAGTTAGTTTGAAGGGGAGATAGAGGAAAAGAGAAAATAAACTAATGATAATAAACAAAAATTAATAAAATACTTATAATAAAAATAAATAAATAAAATAGAATAAAAAAATAAAAACAGAAAAGGAAGGGGAGGAGTAGAAGAAAAAAGAAACAATAAGAGAGAAGAAAAATAAAGTTCAGCAAACAAAGCAACAAGAATAAGCCAAAAAAAAAAAAAAAAAATGAATAATAATAATAAAAACTGAATAAATAAAAAAGAAAACACTATATCAATGCTAATTATGAATTATACAATTCCACATGGAA